TGCATTGCTTCTGAGGACGACCTCTACCTCCAATTCGAAATACATATTCTTCCAATATTCGGTCTATGTCATATGAGCCATCCATATCTGGCGGAATCATGGATCACCGCGAAGGAAACTGGTCACTGGTGACACAAGGCAACAACTTTGACGCATGAAAGAATGGATACGTGTGGAGGTGAGCCGGAATCTCTATGGTATACGATGGTCCGTCCTCTCCACCGTTAACTTCTAGGACTGGCCACGACCCTCTATACGCGGGCAAGAACTTTTGTGAGACCTTTTCTTCTGGTGCAAATTCCTTTGACTTGGCCCAGACTAAATCGCTTACCGTGAAATTGCGTGAATTGCGATGGTCTGGGATGCTTATTTGCTTGCTCAATCATGCGATGTTGGGCTTTTCTAACGTTTTCGATCACCATTTTAACTTCCTTGTCGTGTTGTAGAGGAAACTCTCTTATACCGGGAGGTAACCCTTTGAATCTAGTCCCAACCCAGTCCTACAAACGACCTACGTGGTCTAAAGGACTTATGCAGCTCGTTAGGAGTTCTGGATGTAGCCAGGTGTATACTTATTGTAGGCACTAGCTACTTTAGGGAGCATCTCGTCCCAATTCACTTGATCTAGTCTAATATACATTATGAGTAAATAGCAAGCTTTATTCATTTGTTCTGTCTGGTAGTTCGTCTCTGGACGACAATCTGACGACATCAATAGCTAGACTTTCATGATATCTTCCCAGTTTCGGCTGGTCAACAACGTGTCTCTATCACTAACCATTGACAGCGGAATGCCAACTCACTTACCCAAAAGTCAAAAAACTTCTCTATAACTAACTCAGTCTTTGCCTCTGCGAGCAATGGTACAAAAAAGTGTCAAAAACAAAATATTTGCTAAATCGATCTATTATGACCATAACTTCACTTTTCCCATGCCTATTCTTGTCGGGATAGGCAAAGGTCTAAGAAGACCTAGAGGCGCTCTTGTTGTTGTCTTGTTGCGCTGGCAGACTTTGCAACTGTGGATATACTCTATACAATCTGCTTTCATGCCAGGCCACATCAATAGCTAGACTTTCATGAGATCTTCCCAGTTTCGGCTGGTAAACCGCGTGTCTCTGTCACTAACTATTGACAACGGTATGCCATGCTCACTTACCCAGAAGTCAAAAAACTTCTCTACAACTAACTCAGTCTTTGCATCTGTGGGCAATGGTACAAAAACAACATATTTGCTAAATTGATCTATTATGAGCATAACTCGACTTTTCCCATGCCTACTCCTGCCGGGATAGGCAAAGGTCTACGAAGACCTAGAGGTGCTCTTGTTGTTGTCTTGTTGCGCTGGCACACTTTGCAACCGCGGACATACTCTATACAATTTGCTTTCATGCCAGCCCATGTATACGACATCGATAGGTTCGCTAATATCTTTTGCCAGCCGAAGTGTCCTTTTGTATCATGGCATTCCCCTAAGAGCAAACTGCAGATCTTTTCACTATTGGGAACACATAATCTATCAATGGCATTGGTCTTCTCAAAGAGTAGCCCGTTCGTGGTTCTATAATCTGGCTCGCTATCAGAGGTTTCCTTAACTTTTCTCCGAAGATCACTATAGATCGAGTCCTACGCGTACGCATCTCTTATTTTCTGTAGTAGATCTACTCTTATGTCGAGATAGTGCACTATTGCCCCGAAGTAATCAACTCTCCTACTTAGGGCATCGGCTACCACATTATACTTGCCTTTGACGGGTTTCAACTCGAAGTCAAACTGGTCTATCTCTGCTGCCCACCTAGTCAATTTGGGCGTCATCTTGGCTTGTGTCTTAAGTGATCTTAGAGTTTCATGATCTCGGTAAACTTTAAAGTGCCTCCCAAGTAGGTAATGTCTAAAATGATCAAATGCCTATCTGAGATCATAGAGTTCTCTCTCATATGTCGTGGCTGCTACTTTATCAGAAGGTAGCCTAGCTGACATGAACCCTACGGGTCTATAGCCATCGCCGTCATTTTGTTGTAACACAGCGCCTATGCCATACTGGCTTGCATCTCTAGTGATGACGAGGGGTAATGAGGGATCAGCCACCTTGAGGATAGGATATTCTACCAAGACCTTTACTTTCTTTGAGGCCGAGGTGCAGCATTTGTCCCACTTTCAGATCACTTCCTTCTTCAGGAGTCTGCGAAGGGGATCAGAGACAACAGAGAAGTTTCTTAAAAACTTTTTGTAGTAGTTGGCCAGTCCTAAGAACGATCCCAACTCAGTCACAGTCCGAGGAATTGGCTAGTCTCTAATTGCTACTATCTTGTCATCCTCTGGCCTGATGCCATCTCCATCCAACCCGTGACCCAAGTCCAATCTATCTTGGCCCGCTCACACTTTTTTGCATTGATCTTGAAGTTGGCTTCTCTAAGCTTCCCCAAGATCTGCCTTAGATGACCCTCATGTTCTTGGAAGACTCCTGTAGTCTATGCACATTCTAAGTTCTCCCCCTTTCTTGGGGACAAAGAAAACAGTTGCGCCAAAAGGAGTTGAAGTGGGTCTAATCCATCCTTTCTCTAGGAGCTCGTCTAATTGCTTGTGTAGCTCCTCTAATTCCTTGGGAGACATTTTGTAGACTGTTCCCTGAGGCGTCTTACTGCCAGGCTCTATTTCTATGCGGTGTTGGATAGCCCTTGGTACTACCCGAGAGGGTGCTTCAGCTATATCCAACTCCTTGAGCAAACTGGCAACATTGGGATGGATCTCATCTTCCTCTTTTCGCTGGTCAAATGCTGGCTTCTCGAAAGTGCTAAGTGGCTCCAGCTGTCTCTCCCCAATCAGTACCAAGTACTATATCAAAAGGGAGGTTATCTTCTATGCGGGGAGTCAGGGAACGGAGAACCTTTCCTACCTTTCCCTCTCCTTCTAGACGAAAATATGCCTTGACCCCCTCGACGTACTCCTCGATCCGCATCGTGTGGTTACCTGCGAGGATATTCCAAGTTTTGGACTTTGAGGCTTAGCCTCAACTTCTTCAGCGCCTTTCTACTGATGTAACTCTATTGGCCCCACTATCTATAAGAGCCCCTACTCTAGATCTAAGGATCTCTACATCTGCTAACAATAGCTGCCCTTTCTAATTCTTCTTCATTTTGGCCCAGGATGGCCATCTCTCTTTGAGCTCTACGGCCAAGCCTCTGAGGGAAGCACCTAGAGAGCCTCTAACACAAGTAGTCTCTAGGCAGCTAGCTAAGTGCTGGCCAGCAACCTCGGCCATGGATACACGTGGAGTGGGATTTTCTACTTTGTGCCCGCGCTCATTTCCACGTGCTCCTAGGGTAGGGGTAGTTGCTTGCCACCTCTACCGGCGGTTGCCTTTTGCTGCACTAGATGCAGCACGATTAGGCCTTCTGTACTTCAGGCAGAATTTGAGAATGTGCCCGGGGTCTCCACAGGACACGCATTGGAACTTGTCGATGCGGTCCTGCCAAACATTACGCTCTAGGCCTAGGGTTTCCCAGGGCGGGCCTTCCGGCCGTCCTCGGTGCCATACACCCCTTTTGGGAGGTGACCAACTTGAGCTAGGACGGCTAAACAGGGGACCTTGACCCCTTCCTCCCCCACTTGGCGGTCTCTGTTGCCACAAACCCCTTGACCACCTTGCCCTCGACCACTTGAGGCCTGGCCACTTCTGCCACGGCCTCATCCTGCTCCTTGCGGCCTCCCTCTGGACTCGACAACATCGTATGAACTCCCCCTCTCTGCATTGTTGTCTTCTTCCTCAGGTCCCTATTATATGTCTGTATAGGGGACTTCCTCTGCACCACCTTCCTCCATTGTTAGTATTAGACTGTCTTTGGCCTTGACTTGGCCAGAGACGATGCGACCCTTCCATTTTTTCCCTTTATCTAAGTCCGTATGCCAAAAAGTGGTAACTGGCATGGACTGGGCGGCAAAGGCAACAACTTCCCTACTAAGGAGATTGTAGGTCATCCCAAGCTGCTGCCTCTTGTTAAAGAAACTCCCTTGCAATTGCTTGGGCAACGCGCGATAGAAAGATTGGACTAGTTGTGCTTTTGTAACTCCACGGCCCCTCAAAGCAATGAGTTCATCCTTAGCAACTTTTAGTGCGTGAACACTCTTCCAAGGCTGCGTATGGATCATTTGGAGTTTGTCGGATGCCTTCAATCCTCTAGTGACATCCGTTTTTTCGCACTGCAGCAAGAAAACCGCTAAGGTTAGTAATGGCAGAATAAGCGACCATATCATTTTCGCAATAGGCGGCTCATCCGAGAGACCTAGCGAAACTAGTCGCTTCGCCACTCAAACCCTGAAAGGCTATTCCGACATGGTCGTCGGGAGGCACGTTCTGTAAATACAGATTTAATGTTAGCCTCCCAATTGTCAAGTCCTCACCCCTTTTCCCACTATAGGGCTCAGGGAAGCAAACTTTGACTCTCTCTTGGGCGGGTTGTGGGTCTTATTCCTTAGGGACTGCCATCTTGACACCCTCGATCGCACCGGTACAAAACTTCTTTGTCTTACTGATTGCAATCAGCATCTCGTTGATGAGATGAATCATCATCTTTTGGGCAAAGTTTTGGAATCCGGCTCGGACGGATTCAAGTGCTACATCGTGCCCACGAAGATGTCTTATTTGTTCTCGTTGAGCTGCTAGAACAGACGCCAAACCATGGGAGAGGGTCTCAATCTTTTTCCCAATTTCTTTTTCTTCTCTCATCTGACCCAGCCGCACTTCTGCCGCCTTCAATTCCTCCTCCTTGTTTGACATTTCCAATCGCCTCATCCTCTCCTTTGCGAGGCGCAATATCCATTCTAACTGCCTCTCCTGCTTTCTCACATGACGATGTTGGGAGATCCTCTCTCTTTCCAACTCTATTTTTGTTGCTTCTCTTTCTGCCTGGGGGACAGCCAACTCTGCTTCCCTATCTTCCCCAGGGATAGTACTTTGCGAGGCGCACTATCCATCCTAACTGCCTCTCCTGCTTTCTCACCTGACGATGCAGGGAGCTCCTCTCTCTTTCCAGCTCTATTTTTGTTGCTTCTCTTTCTGCTTGGGGAACAGCCAACTCTGATTCCCTATCTTCCCCAAGGGATAGTCCTGCCACCCATTCCTTCACAGCCTTCTCCACCTTTTCCGGTGGGGCTAGGCTTGTACTCGTTTCTCCTCTTTCCTCCTTCCTTTCTTTTGGGCCCCTTACTGCTTGCTTCTCTTTTCCTCTCTGTAGCGGGGTCCCCTCTTCTTTGCTTTCTTCCTCCTCTTCTTCTTCTCGGCCAATTCTTTGGCCAACTTCGCCTCCTGTTCCTTCTTCCACGCCTCCATCTCCTCCTCCATCTTTTTCTTCTTGGCTGCTGCTCCTTCCAGCAAGGCCAGCTTCTTGGCCTGTTTCTCTATAGCTTTCTTCTCCTTTCTCTCCTTCTGCTCTCAGAGAATCGCGACAGCCTTCTCCTCCTGTTCTTTACAATCCGAACGGGTCTGGAGTCCACACTTGGTAGTCACAGCACAATGAACGGTCCTTCGGAACCCCAATGGGAAGAGGAAATGTATCAAGGGCCCCCAAAGGGAGAGGCCCACAATGAAGGCGAACATTGGGTAGTCGTCCATGTCGGATGGGGGCACAATCACAACTGATTCCGCTCCTCAACATAGGCTGTCGCCACTTTGCACTATAGCACTACACCTTTGCCAGGCTACCACTATCGTCGAATACTTTCGCAACCACAATCCAATCTTTCCACAACCGTCGGATGATTATGCACCCACAATTCGATCACGCCTAGCTTTGGCTTCCAATTGTCCCTCTGTCAACTACTCGATGCTATAATATTACTATTGCCTAGTCTGACACTATAGAACTACAAGCTGATCAGGAGGCATTTAAGGAGATCCCCCATAACTCTTCAAGAATTATTTAACGTCCCAGACAGGACGACGATCACAGCCAGAGTTCTCTCAAGACTTAGACAAACTGGATGCATGACCTGCAGCTCGGAGTTCAGGTATAGTGTACCACCCAGAGCGGCCTGCCGGTCCGTACAGGTGCTTGGGGGCTTTTCCCTAGGTCCTCCAGCATCAGATACACCTCACCCCTACTAAGTCCCGTGAAGACCTCAGCCCCTCAGCCTCTATCTGACCGCATACATGGAACCTACAACGACCTGGACAGGAGTGACTCAAAGCAGAAAGAGATGACAGACAACCTGCAAGACAGACTCGACTACAGCAAGTACCAAGGTGAGTGTACACCATCCATAGAGCATAAAAGGACAAGGGCTAAGGCTTGAAGAGATTATACTGCTCCTCGCTTCACACTCCAAGCTTGGTCAACGGTCAACTTGATCAACTGTACCAGTCAACACTCCGGTCAATCCTTTGACCACCCTGCTATGGCGGCTTCCTCTTTCTTCGTCACCTTCGTCCACTTCGCCCGCTTCTTCTTCGTCCTCAAGCTCGGCTATGGTCAGGTCTTCTTCTTCATCGTCGGCTATGGCTGCTGTCACCTTCTTTGTCACTTCTCTCTTGTCTCAACTTCTTCTTCGTCACTAGTCTTCTCTCCTATCCTTCGCTATGGTTGTGCAGACAACGGGAACAAGCTCCGATACCACTGCATTCAGACTCGTCTCAATTTCACGTCCAACATGCATACATGCAGATGCCGATGGCAAAACAACTTCCTCAAAGCAGAATCCTCAACAAGCTTGAGATGGCGCAGTCCGCCCTCACAGAAAACTCAGGGATATGGCTTTCAGCCAGGAACCCGGCTGAAGAAAACTTGTCACATCTTGCGGCTGTGGCGTCTGAGCGCAGTCTGAAATTCCCATCCGAACATTGTATCCACCATCAGACACACTCACACGCACGTACGCACATAACACTCGGATCTACCCTGAATGTCTGCACTCACACACACTATCTTCTAGAAACACAC